CGTACGTACGTACTACGTAGTACGTACTACTCTCTCTCTCTCTCTCTCTCTCTCTCTCTCTCTCTCTCTCTCTCTCTCTCCCCTCTGCAGTTTGATTCTTTTGTATATGTTCGTACCCATGAATGATGAAACTGATATACTCTTGTCTTTTGAGTGGGATTATAATAGGTGTATTGGAATGTCAATCATATCGTATAGATGCTTAAGAGCCAAACGATAATTGTGTGAGGATCAAGTTGTGACAGAGTAGTGAATGTTGCTTTAACAACTTGTGAGAGGTCAAAGCAAGATGTTATTTTGGATGGAGTTGCTTTCTTTTGGTTTTTTATTTTCATGGTCATTTAGAGTCATAATATGAAATGCTAATTGCTGATCCCATCCACATCTTGTTAGATTTCTAGGTACTGCATATAAACCCATACAGTTCGACAAGAATGTAGCACTTTTCTTAGCAGTTTGCAGGCTGTATAATGATTTTTTTTTATATAACCCAAGAATGGGTCTAATTTTGGGAGGAAACGTAAATGAAAGTACAAGTTACAACAGAAAGGCTCCAGTGCTCACAATGCCAAGTATTATTGTAAATCTGAGTTGGAGAATACCAGCATGAATAAATTATTTCAATGTATAAGTCTGTAGATGTGTGAATGGAGATGAATTTCTTAACTCAGCTGGAACCTGCTGTTGTGAGTCAAGTGATGCCCAGTCCTTCCATGTTAGACAAAAAATTGTAAATGTAAAATAAAGACATCAAATGAATCGGGAGATACTGGAAGCAGTTGAGTGCCCAATTGTTATCGTATGGTTAATTTGTGTTATAAGAGTCCCCATTGTGGATTCCGAAACTAGCGTAGGCATCTTCTTTTGATTGTTCTCCATGTGAACCCTTGGCTATTTGTCTAGTAGACTAGGGTTGGGTAACAAAGGCATGGAATTTAGAGTGGGCAACATAGATTTGGAAGAAGGTTATGTTTTAAACATAAATTCTGCAATCTAGTGTGAAAAAGGAATGTAGTAACGGGAAATAATCTGTTTCTCTATGGACTGAAAAGAGAAACAATCATATGGTGACATATGTTGGGTACTTTGAGTAGTATATAATGATGTTAAATTTACCGAGTGGCCACTCATTGCAGACTGTAAATTGTTTCATAAGCATAGAAGAATAATCCAGATTGGCACCCATATCATGGATTTTAACACACAATGCAAACCAGTCACTCGGCGCTTACTTATCTGCTAATTATCCGATGCATTATTGATGGGTATCTTAGAAAAAGTTAGGTTATGCATGATTTTGAGCTGTAAGGAGGGTTACAACATCAATGTTTCATCGGACCCTTGAGGCTGAACCTATACTGTCAGTGTCAAATTTAAAATATACAATCTACAGTAGTTGGCATGAGCAAACGAAGAGAGGGTAAAGGGATAACCTGAATGAGTTTAGGAATGAAGTCATTTCCATCCAAGGTCTTAAAATTTTTTATCTGAATTGGCAAGAGCGGCTGACTTACATGGAAGGGCATATTTCAATTCAAAATAAATGAAAACAGTTAAATGATGCGTTCAAAAATCTTGGAATTGTGCACATGTCATTATTTGTTGTCAAGTTTGCATTTTCTTATGCGATCAGCACCTGATTGCTGTGTTCTGAGAATGTTCTGTTTGCTGCTTCACAGGGCAGCTCATAACTGGAAGTTGTTAAAGGAGCTGGAGAAGGCAGCTAAGGTATATTGGGATGCTAAGGATCGACTACCTCCGAGGGTATGCGCCGGTTATTTCATTATTAAATTTATTAGTTCAAACCTCTTTTCTGATATCTAATGATATCTTATGAGGCATTTCTACTTTTGAAAACTTGTCATTTTTTCCCTTTGTGTTCACATTTTGACCATGGCAAAAAGTGATGCAACACTATGTGCTGCAGACCATCAAGATTGACATCAACATCGAGAAAGACTTGGCTTATGCTCTGAATGTCAAAGCGTGTCCCGAGCTATTATTCTTGAAAGGAAACAAGATTCTCTACAGAGAGAAAGGTCAGAGATGTTCAAATATAAAAAAAGCTTATCAAAATATGAATTGCCTTTTTTGCCAGATAGTTAATTGATGCTTCCATGTCGGATTTGTAGAGTTTAGGACATCAGATGAATTGGTGCAAATGATTGCACATTTTTACTACAATGCTAAGAGGCCATCGTGGGTTGATTCCGCAAGAGTGTCTTCTCCATTTTGAAGTGTCTCCAGGTACATCAAATTTTCTTTGCTGATTTAGATGTACATATTGCCTCTTCTCCCTTGTGTCTGTCCGTCGGTGGTACCACTACAATTTACGAATGCAGTTTTTTTATATGCAGCTTGTTAACCTTAGCTCTCAACTAGCTTGAGGTGTTGATGATCGGTGACCCACCACAATATAAATGGAGCATCAGTTACCAGAGTCTTGGATGACATTTGTTCATACTAGCTAGGTAAAAAGAAGCGCCTGTTAAGAAGGCACACGTCTAACATCGCAAGTGTAGACATGCACCCAAAGAGTTGCTCAATAAGCAAAAAGAAATTAAAGAAAAGAGTTATTTTGCATGAATACCCCATGAGATATGAGAGTTTATGTGTTTGCCCTCAAAAGTTTTTATTTGTTTGTATGCCCCTTAGTTTATTTAGACATTACAAATCTTCGATGATTTTTTGATAATTAATTGCAATTAGCTTGGTAAAATTTTGGTGAATAATGAAGTGTTGGTTGATCGTTCTAATCTATTGGATTTGTGAATTGAGAGAAACAAAAAAAATAAAAGAGCTTTGTCGCTCTTATAGTAGCATCAGTTATATCGATTGGGAGCCAAAGATACGTGCATAAATTTATTATAAAATTTTTGACAAAAGTTTTGAAGTTTTAAAAAAATTTTATACAATGTCTCATTTTAAAATATTATTTTATCTTTGCTTTTGTCCGACTTGTTGTGCCTTCATCTTGTCTTCTTGAATTATCGTCCTACCTTTCCTTCTCAACTGCATCGTTCTCAACTACCTTTCCTTCTCTTGTCTTTTACATCAAACTCATCCCAATGTGTTTTTGCTCATCGTTCTCAACTACAACATAGGTAGATAGGCGATTTAGGACTCGACTTGCACATAGGTAGATAGGTGATTTGGGGCTCGACTAACGGCTCGTATGCAATGGTGGCTATCGTCAAAGGCAAAGGTAGCCAAGGATGACACAAGGACAAAATTATTATTGTAAAAATATGAGTACTCTAATTTTTTTTTGGAAAATAAGGGGGTTTTTGTGAATTTTTCAAAACTTACAGAGTTTTTTTGAGAATTTATTCTAAATTTATTCTTAATATAAGCCCTGACGGGTTTCTCGCCAAACCGCCGTCGCTCGCCTCGTTTTCTCTTGTGCCTACTTTTGTCAAAGGCCCGCAGCAAAAACCGACAACTGCGGTGTCCGAACACCCTACTGCTTCTCCACCTCACTCCCTTGCCGATGGCCCGTAGGCGGAGCGAGATCGATGGTTGCGACGGCATTCCCGACGAGGTATCTCGAAGCGATTTCCCTGAAGATTTCGTTTTCGGCGTCGCCACCTCCGCTTACCAGGTAATTTCAATTAAATCTCCCTAGTTCTCGGAGCCATTTTTGCGAACCCCTTTCCGTTGCAATCTTCTCCCCTTCGTTCCAGGCTCCGGCCGTTTTGGATCTCACAACGATAAAAAAAGAATGAAACTCTTTCTCGATCAAATAATAGGAGGTACAAGAAAAATTCCTTAGAGATTAACTTATTTGGAATATGACCTTGTAATCATCTAAGGAAACTGGAATGCAGGATTCTAAAAAAATTGGGCTCCAGGTTTCTAGAAAAAGAGAAAAAAAGAGAAAAAAAAAGAAAAAAAAAGGCTCCAGGTTTCTAAAAAAAGAAAAAAAGAAAAAAAATTGAGATTTTGGTTCATGTAGGAGTCACTCATATCTCCATTTACTTAGCCATCTAATCGGCAATAGTTAAGGCATAGGTTTTTCAGTTTTGGATATCGAATCTTTATTGATACATGACCAGACGTTGTCCCTTCTGACACATTGAGATATTGATACATCACAACATACTGCGGTACACGGAGGAAAGAGGGAGGAGTCAGTGAAAACAAGGATGAGGAGAGGATTACCAGCATGTGGCGAGTGGCATGCGGTTGGAGGTGGTGTACATCATGCATTCTTAGTTTGCGAGAGGCATGGGGGAGGGATCACGAGAGACACGGGGGAGTGGTGTGGGTTTTAGCTTTTAGGGTTGAGGATAGAGAAAGAAAATGAAAATTGGTCTTGCTGCCCAGTTCAAGCCCATTACCAGGCCTAGGCAAAGTGGTAAAGCCTAATTCAATGGGATTATCAGGCAGCAAGACTTGTGTCACACATGGACTACCCAAAATTGTGCCATCTATGTGCCGGTTAATGCCTAGACCAGTAAATACTGAATGTACATACCAGTCTGGACAAAATTACATTCCTTGGTTAGGGCAGTTAGTATTATGTGCTTTGGCCTATGATAAATAACACATTTAGCATATCAATCATAGTACCTTTTTGAAGTTATATCGCCATCATAATTTCATAATTATCTATTCTTTTCATTTTTTGCAGGTTGAAGGAGCAAGAAGAGAGGATGGAAAAGGTGATAGTATTTGGGATATTTTCTCAGAAGAAAAAGGTTTGGTCTTTTCTCATGTCTTTTTCACTTCTTCCAGTTTGTCTTATCCACCTGATTTGTTGTTTATATCACTAGGGAATATAAAGGATGGGAGCAATGGAGAAATTGCAGTGGATCAGTACCATCGCTATAAGGTCAGTCACTTTTTCTTTTTTTGACTCCCTGATAAGCTTATTAGTTGATTTTCTGTGATACTCCTGGATTGCACAATCATCTAAGCTGATAAAATCTTATTCAATGGTATACTGTCATGTTGGACCAACTTGTATGTATCCGATTAGCATATGTTAGTTATTCATGGTGTAATCTTCATGTTGAACCTCACTTGAAGTGGTACGAAATGAGTGGTATGTATTGGTCTACGAACCGGTACATGGACCACCTGCATTTCGGGCGGTCCGGTTTGGTTCCACCCATTAGAAGAAGAAAAAAATACTATTAAACAACTGCTGTTTTGGGGCTTGTGAACACGAGCCCTCTTCACTGTACATGTAGAGCCTAGGTCGTCTGTTGTCGGTCATTGCCATACACCTTCTCTTCCTATTTTGCTCTTCCCCCTCCTCTTCCTGTACCACTATGTCCTATTTATTAGTTTTACTTTCTTTAATTCCATTTTTTTGTATTTTTTCCTGATGCCATTTTATATTTTAGTCCAATTATTATTACTTTTTAAATTCTGTACCTGTCCATTACCTTTGCTGTCTCATTTCAGATCCATAAATTTGACTTTATCTTTTTGTTATTGGAGTAAGCGGAGGTGAACTTGGCTTGGGATGAATCATATGATGAAAGTCACGGAGTAAGAAGACAAACTAGAAAGTATTAAAGACATTATATGATTCAACATATGTCTAAATCCATGAAACACCTCATAAGGAAGTTCTAGTACTATTGTGTGGAATCCTCAAAGTTGCTTGAAGAAAAACTCAAAATAACTCTACAGTAAAGAAAGGCTTGAGGCCAGGGATCAATGGTGGATATGCTGTTTAGTGTTTAGTTTATCAAGTTCAGCATCTGTTTAGTTATTCAAGTTCACTATGCTTTCTGTTATTATCTGCACTATTTTGTTGGTGCTCAGGAAGATGTGGAGCTTATGGCCAAGTTAGGTTTTGGTGCTTATCGATTTTCCATATCTTGGTCTCGTATATTCCCTGGTATGTTTCTTTCCATTGCTGTTACTTTAAGCTTGAAATTATAGTTTGCATAGAATTCTGGTAATTCTTAAAATGATTGGTGGATTTGTCTAGGGTTTTGAATACCGGTCTATATCGGCGTACCGAGCTCTGTTCGGTATGGTACGTACCCGTATGTATCGTCAGTATGCTAGGGCGTATTGACGATATACCATAAAATCTTAAAAATATCTCCACCTACCATGCTAGAGCATACCGGCCTAACAGTCAAAATTCGGGACGGTATCGGTCGGTATGCCTCGATACCTGTCAAAACACTAGTTCGCCCAGTAGAGGATGGTCTACGTACTGGTATCCCCTTAGATCGATGCGTACCGCCTATACTAGACGGTACACATCGAAATTGAGAACCCTAGAATTGTCAATTACATAATGGAGTTTTATAAAAAGGCTGGATTTTGGTTTGTGGATACTTAGGCTCTTGGACATAGAAAGATATTTTAGTTACTAGATTGCAGAAGGCATTGCGAGATTTTATTTTTTCGTGTAATATTGTATGAAACATATATGTGAATATATTGCTATGAACATTCATGTGCGATTGTATATGATATCTAGTTATAGCATGATGCAAATTCATGCTACAGCTTACTAATTCATTGAAAGAAGTAGAGATGAATATTTTCGTTAGATCAAGTAGGCAAGCCTCTTATTAAATTGGCTGAACACATTTTATGGTGGATAATGTTGCTACATGAATACTTTTTCTGTCATGAAGATCCACCATGGCAGAGAGTTTTAGAAGCGGGAGCTTACATGTTTATTCAGCGAAAATTAATGCATATAATACCTTGACAGAAGATTTAAACTGACTATTTGTGTCATGGTATACACATATTAATGGTTTAAGTGAGGCAAAAATGATCTGGATAATATCATAATGTGCATCATCCAACGTGTATAGAATTTATTGAGATAGAAGTTCTGTGACTTGAAGAATAGGAGGCTGAGATCTCCGAATTCTAGAGGAAAATGCCAAGTGAAATTATGAAAACTTTGCTCAAGGATTCAGCCTGTTGCTTTGCTTACCAGATAGGAAAAATAACTTCTGTAACATTCAATTTAGTGAAAACATTTTTGTACAGTATTTTGCTACAGCATATTACATTTCGATCATCTGATGGTGATTCAGGTTACAACTTGCAATTGACTTTGTTTGTGTCATGTTGGCAGATGGATTAGGAACTAAGATCAGCGAGAATGGGGTTGCTTATTATAACAATTTGATCAATTTCCTACTAGAAAAAGGTTGCCAATCACCCATTTGATCTTTCAAATACCCATAAGAACTTGCACTTACATGTTCTTAACTGCAGGTATACAGCCTTATGTGACACTATATCATTGGGATCTTCCATATTTTCTTCATGAGTCCATAGGAGGATGGCTATCAGAGAAGATTGTGTAAGTAGAAAATTTCAAACCGTTAAGTGACTACAGTAGAGATATATTTCCTAGCATCATTAAGTTCCTTGTTTTCCTACTATACAAATTTATTTCCTTAAAACTGTATTTTTCTTGCTTCAAGCAAGCTCATTCTATAGTTGGAAAAATGTATGAGCATATTTAGTATGTTCATGTAATCCTGGTAAGTGTTTATTCATGTTTATATAAATAATTTGCTGCAAAAATTATGTTTTGTCCTTCAACATTGTTATGATGTGTGACCTTGAAGCAGAAAATATTGGAGTTATTGAGTTAAACTAGAAGATCCTTTTAACCATGTCTTTGCTCATAATTTTTGTCAAACTACTAAGCAGCCAATCACAAGTTTAGTAATGTTTCTGACCAAAACAGGCAACTTGGTAAAGCATTGTGATATTTGGTGCTTTGATTAAATCTGTTGTCCTTTTGTTTGGTTTGGGTCTTCCAATTATATACCCAATAAGAAAGGATATGCTAAAGAAAATACTACTAACCTTTGCTAAATTGGGTGTTGCGAAACTTTTGATTTGGAGACAAAGCTTGATCTTTTGAAAGTTATGCATGTCCTGTGGAACTTAGTGAGCATTTCTTTAACCTTTTGCAACATCCAAGGTCACAAATGCATTCCTTGGGCCATTGAAACACATAAGTTTACATTCTAAGTTTGGAAAGTATAAGATTGTCTGCATAAACAATTTAGTGGAAGGTGATGTGAGCTGCTGTTACTTTTCTTGACTTTCTTGTTTCATCCATGTTCCATTTACCAACTACTTCAAACATATTTCCTATCTTCGAGACATTTTTTGAATTGTTAATTCTTATTGATGGATGAAAAATCAGCTTTGTCCTCTGGCTCACAGAATTAGCAATTTTGTTTTGGCTTATTTGCATTTGTGTGTTCAATTAGCTAATCCTTTAAGAATAAACAAACTTTACATAGGAATGGTTAGGTGGTTGTTCTGTGTTCAACCCTATTGCATTATAATTTCGACCACTTGATATAGTTTCTCACTTTCTCTATCCTTTTTTCTCTTTACGAAGAAGCTGAAGCTAGAAGTTCTTGTTTTGATAACCTATTCTTGTTTTGATAACCTACTTTTACACCTATCATCTATTGTTTTCCTTTTTTGGCTTTAGTTCATCCATCAGACTACTGGTTGAAAATCTTGCTTCCTAGAAAACAAAAGATGAGCTAAAATATACTAAAAATTCAACAATCTTCCATCATCTTGTTCATGCATTTTATGGATAAAGACCCAATACCATTATTATATAACACCTTGATAGATGTCACAGATTCTACATGAAAATTTTGGTTAATATTTGCAACCACAGAATTAGCAAATTCCTTAACCCAGTTCCTGTTAAAACTAACAGTGTTCATAGTATGATATCTAGTATTTACTAATCTAAGCAATTAATATGATTGAAACTTTAGTTATGGATCCTGAAAACACTAAGATGACCTTTCTAACTTGATATTATATCAAACTGGACAGACACTATTTTTCATTATATGCCGAAGCTTGTTTTACAAAGTTTGGAGACAGAGTGAAGCACTGGATTACAATCAATGAACCTCTTCAAACAGCTGTAAATGGATATGGTTGTGGAATCTTTGCTCCTGGAAGACGTGAAAATTCATCTGTGGAACCTTATCTGGCTGCTCACCACCAAATTTTGGCTCATGCAGCTGCTGTTTCTGTTTATAGGAAGAAATTTAAGGTGCCATCTCTGATTAGTTTATCAGCTTTTCCCAGTTAACTCTTTTTTACCTTTCTTGGTTTTTAAACACTTAAAATGGTTTATCTGCCGATGTAACTTTTTTTCAGCTACTAATTCTAAAGCAATTGAAGCACATTCAGATTCTTTTTCTTACCATCCAAGGCACAATTTCACCACATAGAATATTGCTAATGAGTTGAATTTTTACATCAAAGAATGCCTCCTAACCAAACATTCTGGATATAATATCAATCCTTGATGGTAGAAAAAAGTCAAACTAGTTGAATTCTCTGTTGAGTATAGTAGTATTTGCTTGCTCCAGGCTGCACAAGGTGGTGAAATAGGCATTGCAGTTGATTGTGAATGGGCAGAAGCATATTCTGATAAGTTGGAAGATAAAATTGCTGCTGATAGGCGGTTGGATTTCCAACTTGGATGGTAAATTTTCTTTAGTTTCTGTTTGGTATTGGTCTTTCCATATTTCATGCTGAAGCTTCTTTTTATGCATTACATGCTGGTGTTTGTTGCTGAATATAAATAAGTCTAACTTAGACTAATAGCCATCAAAAATATTTTTATTGTTTTTAATAAAGATAAACAATAAAAATAGGTTTGGATTTTATTTTAACTATTGATATTGCCATCAACAGAGCTCACTGGAAGAAAAAGAGCCCATGTAATCATCTTTAAATGAGTGGGACCTTATGGCTCTTGTTATTCTGGATTATAATAAGCATCTGAGAGCAAGTTTTTCCTGTCTAGTGACAACTTTTTTACTTTATCCAAATTTCTAAATGTCTGAATTAAGGACATTTCTTTTGTAATATGATAGAAGAGCATACATATACATCTTCCTTGTAGAATATATAAACAAATGTCTATTTCTTCTACAACTGCTGAGAACCGAGAGGCAAGTGCTTCCTGTTCTATTAAAGGGGAATTTAAGCAGGACAAAAAGAATTGTTTCAGCATATGATCACTTCTCTCGTATACAATCACATATCAATTTGTTCATTTTTAAGAAATATATCATTTTGTTTCTTGAAAATGACAATATATTGGTAATATGTTATATATTGGTCTTGAAAGAGTATCTCTTTTTTAGGACAGTCTTGAAATAGAATGTCAAGATGTTGGTTTCAATGTTTGCTTCTTAAGGTCAATAGATTCTTCGCCAACACCCTTACATAGCATTATCAAATTCAATGCAGTTGTACATATGTCAGTTTATGATATTTTCAACTTGGCATTTGCGTATAGGGAAAATTTGAAGATCATAGTTTGTGTTAGTGGTTTTATGCTTTAACTGTTTACAGGTTGATGTCTATTAATGTTCAAGTCTAGTGCTACTAGGCAGAAAGCTAATACTGAGAGGAACCACCAAATCTATTTCAGTATCTCATTACCACCTCGTACATGGATTGATGTTCTGTGATACATGGATCTTTGCTGCAAGCTTGGGTCTTCATCAGGATCACCCTTTGTAACCCAAGCGTTCATCATAGATGGGCAGCTTAAGTGCTAGGCTGTCATCCTCCCTTTGCGCTTTCTGTTATGGTTTTAGGGCTTTCTAGGCATCCAACTTTGCTTTGAAATGTCAATTATAGTGGCATTATGATGGCACTCCATGCAACAGTGCTGTAAATGACAACCGCATTATCATACCATATAGGATCCTTATTGCTTTGATGTCACTTCCTACCAAGGTCTGCCACTTTGAACACCAATGTTGTACTGGTCACTAGGCGGACTGGTACAGCCATACTGGTGTATGAGTGTTGGTACACCAGTATGTATCAGATTTTGAGAAAACATTAAATTATTGTTAGAAATCCAAAAAAACCCAGTTTTAACCTAATTTCTCTAATTTTCTGGTTATATACAATCAAATTAGGCTTCTTTTTTTTGACAAATCAGATATAGAGTAATGAAAGTCTCTCATCTAATGAGGCAATGCAAATTGAGACATTTTTTGGTAAAAAATTGAGCCTTGCTCTTGCTATTGCTCTGTTAGCAGATTTAACAATGATATTGCAAAAACTTTCATGTTGAGCTCACAAGAGACCTTTCTGAATGAATCAGAATAGACAATTATAAACAATATATATCTATAGAATACTAAATGAGATGTAAAACAAAGACAGAGTTGTCAAACAAATAGGAGTGTTGAAATTAAGGTTGTCAAACTCGCTTTTCTACCTAGGTTCATAAAAGGGTCACAAATTCAGATCATAGGACTGGATCATAAGATCATAAGATCCTACGATGTATTAAAAAAATAATTTTAAGATATATACATATACTTATAGAAATTTATAAATATTGGAAATTGAGCCTGAATCTGTATAAGATCGGACCTGGGTAAGTGCAGATCTAGGCAAGATATGCATATAGGTAGGCCAGATCTGCATGGATCGATCTTAAATATACCAATATTTAGGCACATTCTTGAGGATATAGGATGAATCCACAGGGATATAATCTAGGTCCCCTCAGATCTATGCCATATCAAATGACAATAATTAACAGAAATGGTCAAACATTGAGTAGGACACCTGTTTTTGAATTGAACCAAGAAAAATACCCTAGTCTGCTTCCCGGTCCTTTGTTGGAATGTTATATGCCGGGGCTGTACTCCCGGTATACGGAACCTAAACAAACTTAAGGAATAGTTTTGACTTGGTTTACCAGTATTCTTCTGTCAGATGAATATCAGGCATTTTTCTAACATTTAGAAGATATGTATGTTCATTGGCACCTTTAGATTCCTAAAAGTTGGAAAATTTCTTCTCCGAAGAAAAGGAATGTTGAAAGATGCATTGGATTTCAGTTTTGTTTATAAGCAGAAAAGTGACTTTCACTAGATTTGATTAGGATTATTCTCAGGATAACTCAGTGCTTTATCGAAACTTTTTTAAGATGATCCATGGGGTTCACTGATTAGGTTTGTGTTAACAACATTGACTTACCAGCTAGTCAAATCAGGTTTGAATGAAGCATATATTTCTTTATTATTAAGGTTCACCCTGACCCAAAGTTTCCTTTGCTAAAACATGAAGCAAAACTTAAGTTTAAAGTTTAAGCCTATCAATGCAACCTGGTCCATATAATGTAAAACCAAAAGATTCCTTCTTTTTCTCTTATCCAAAAGATGTTTTGTGAAACGTTTCAAAGCCCTTCCCAACTGCAGCAGATATGGAAAATATTTGATTTAAGGGTAAACTTGGGGCATCTGAGCTAGATGGGAATAATTCCACTAATAGAAACATGAATTCCACAATTCATTGGTAACCTTAACTCAAATGCTTTGAGGGTATAGATCGATGCATAGTGCAATCTTTCTCAATTGAGATCCCAGGAATTTTTTCTTCTTAAATTTGTTCGTTATTTTTTCTGCCCTTATTTTTGAAAAGCCCAAAACTCTCGTATAAGGTTCCATTCTTCCCTATATTTGCCAATGTATTGCACTGTAGCTAAAAATTCATAAAAAGAATACTTGAAAAGAACATTGTTCTTATTTCTTTGCATATGCCCTTAATCGAGTGAACTTCCTGATTGTAATAACTTTAAATCTTTTGATCATGTAATGATTGTTTGCTGGATGAAAAAATCTTTCAAAATAGATTGGTTTCAGTCATCTGGTCCACATACTGGTTGGTCATCAAACCAATAAACATCAGTTTATATCAACTGGTACAACCAAAGCTTTAAAACCTTGATTACTTAGTTGCTAAGAAGCACGGACATGGACACAATATGACACGGACATGGCGACATGTCATTTAAAAAAAAAATAGGATAAGGACATGGCGAGGACACATGTATTTTTTAACATATATATAATATTCGATTAACATGAGTTTTATAGTATTTATACTTCAATTTTATAGACTTAACAATGTGAACAAATAAATATCATCATACAAGTTCACAATTTCTATCATTGGAAGCCTAGAATCCCTTATTGTCGTTGGTATTCTAATCCTGTTGTATGATTCGCGTTTTGCTATCAGTGATAGAGGGTCATGATTTAACGTTGACGATCTCCAGGTTCAATAAGAAATCTCCAAACTCCCAAGATTTCATTCCTCTACTCCCACATGAGCTCTGGACCACCATTCTTGGTGGTGCTCTAGGCTATTAGGCTATAGATATATACATATTCCTACTATAATTTCTCTTGAGGTTTTGTACTACTAAGTCACTTGTTGTGTTGTTCTAGTATACGTAAAATACTACTATTCCCATCTTTTCTAGAGACCAATGTAGCAAATCGATGAATTCTCACGCTTCACATCTTGCTCTCTCATGCTTGACATCCTGCTCTTTCCTCGAATTGCGACATGGGAAGAAGCGAGAAATGTTAATACGCTGATCATTGCTTGAACCTACCACTCGCCTTGAGCCATCAGTTGGGCCCCATGTGGGCCTTCGTCCGTTGAACTAATATGTCTTCGACCCCTCACTGTTTACGAATAAAATAAAAATACTTACCTAGGCAATGTGACTCCACTAGACCTAGTGTCGATGGACTTGTTTTCTCCATCGCTCTAAAAGGGACATGGGCCCTGCATAAAGCTACTGCCTCGATACCATTGGCCCATGTGCGCGACACGTGAGAAAGGACGCGGAAGTGGTGAGGAAGGACACGGGGATGTGGGAGAGAGAGTTATTTTGACACGGGTACACGTGTCCAAAAATTAAAATAAATAAATAAATAAATAAATAATAGACATGTGTCGGACACTTGTGCAGTTGTAGGCAACATATCCATGTCTGACACGGATACGCCCACCAAATTGATGTGTCCGTACTTCTTAGCTTGGTTGTTACTTGAGCATTCTTGTATTCATTCAAGTTCCAATGTTCTCAACTAATTGTACTAAGAGCTATGGAATTATTTTATTAGGGTTATATGCATCAATAAAATCCTATTGTTATCTAGAAATTGACTTGCACCTTCATCATATTCTTTCATTTTAGATTTAAGATAATTTTTTTTCTTTCTTAATTAATCAAGTAGGTTAATTTAAAACCTTCTAGAGAGCATTTAACAGGAAGATGCATTTGCATTGCTTGTTGAACTATTGTTATTGATTTTATGACTCTATTCAGAGTAGATATGTTTCTACAAAGAATGTAGAATTTGGAAAATTAAAAAAATTTGATCTTTTTTTACACATAAGCTGTGCTTTTTAGTCGATATTCTTTTTCGTTGAGAGAGAAAGGATACACCTTTTATCATTCCCAAAAATAGATTTAAATAGTCATTTTCTTGATCGCTAACTTTTAGAGAGAATAACAAAATTTACATATTATTTTTTTAATATTTTTTTAACCTCTGATCCAAAATCTTCTTGAAGGTTTTTGGATCCAATATATTATGGAGACTACCCCTTGGTTATGCGTGAGAGGCTAGGAGATCGGCTTCCCAAATTTTCAGAGGCAGAAAAGGAGTTACTGCAGAATGCAATTGACTTTGTTGGTCTGAACCATTATACAACCAGATTCATTGCTCATGTAGAAAACCCAGGAGATATCCATTTCTATCAAGTACAACAAATGGAGAGGATAGGTATCTTTATCAAGATTTTAATGAGTTCTCTCATTATGTTGTTTAAACTGGAAGATGTTTTTTGTTCCGGGAGATACTGTGATACATAATATTTTTTATACAAAAGCAATTATTCATTAATGCAGCATTTTAAAAATATTACAAAATTATACTGTGATACATAGATCTCATTCTTTTCATTTATTACATGGACACTTAAGGATGGACTAGTCCATTCATCATATATTAACTAATCGGTTTCGGTGGATTATTTTAGTTCCATGAGCACTGTAATAGTAGTACATCTGCTGTAAGTGCATCTCATATCTATTGTCATTTTTCCTAAAGCAGCACCAATAGACTCATACAATTTTATGGTCTTTTGATCAGAAACAATTGACATCATGAATTCATGATAAATTTAGCACTATGAAGTTGTGGTCAAGTTTAAGATTTAGGAAAATATTAGATTGAATTGAAAGGAAGAAAGAATGAAAGATTGAGCTATGGAAACTCCAGCTTCTAATAACATTTGTTCCTTGTAATGGATCTGGGATTATTTCTCCCTTTAATTTTGGTTTCTGCTCCAACTACTACTATATATGGGGCAAAAATTTGATTGACATGGGTATTTGCTAAGTTGTTAGGTTTGAGTTTATCATTATGACCACAAGGTGCATACTAAGTTGCTAATCAGTGTCATCGGAGGTACATGAGCTCAAATTACACAAAGGCATAGATTTTGAGCCTCTCCCCATTTGAAACTCTCTCACTAAGATGTGGAAAATCCAGGTCCCTACATGACATGCATCTTCAATGTTTCAAATTTCTTATTAACCATGTTGTTATTTCTAAACACTTCCATCACTGCTGATTATCCTTTTTGTGTGGTTCAGATTCTTGCATTACAAATGTTGTTATGCCCATTTCTAAACTCTCTCACTAGAAGCAGTATTCGCTATTCTGATAGCTTACCAGTACGCGGACTAGGGTAAACCGGGCAGTTTCTTTATTCTCCGATTTTTCATGTTTTTTTGAAAGCGGTATGTATGCATTGATGTACAGACACTCGATACACCACCGATATGGTATGGGTCCGAGCCCTAACTGATGTAGTATCATCAAACAAAATTGTGAAACTTGGTTATGCCACATGATCCATTTATGTACATAATTTTGTTATTTATATATATTTTTAAGGAAAATAAAATATTATAAACTAGCCAGTAGCTGCAAAAGTGTTGGGCATAGAGCCCCAGTCAAAACTCCCACCTCAGGGCTGAACCAAACCCTAGACTCTTCCTCAGTTAGCCAATCTGTGTGCTCCACAGTTCAGGTTACAACTTGTGTAAAATAAACTACAATGTTTATGCTATAGTATTTTTCAATTTGTAATATCTATAATTCAAGCTAATAGACAAAAGTTAAACTTATTGCTTACTTGGATATCAATTTGTGGTATATGCTATGTTCTTGATATGTTTCATCTTCATCTCATCCATCTTGCTCAAGCCTTAAGACAGTATTAACTAGAACGCTGACCAGCACAAGCTGACATGGTCAGCACAAGCAATCTTTGGTTTGAAGTTTGTCAAATTAGTTTTCCTGTTTGGCAACTTAAAGATGCAACTTGAGATCATGAGGTCAGTTAGGTTGGGCTATGTTCAATATATAAATGTCAAGTTTGACAAGTCATTGACAGGTTGGTCTTATCAAATGAATATGATCTTTTAATGCTAAATGATACAAGGGCAGTAGAAAGATGAGTTGCTTTTGAGAAACAGAAAAGAAAAGAAGATAATATTCATATCTTATTTTTCTGAAAAATATAATTTACTTGCTTCAATTATTTGGTACGAAACCCTTGCTTATGAATAAATTCAGCTGGCTGCTCATCTTTTCAAATCACATAATCCTTGGATTTCTTTGCAAAGTTAGCTAACCAGTTGTCCTATTCTCCTCTATGTACATGTGAGCTTTTATCTTCAACAAAACATCCAAATATCTCGATATCTTTGCTAAGAGCCCAAGGTGGCGTTATCTTCTTGTTTGATAATTGACTAGTACTTTGCATCTTATAAAATTTCAGTTCTTTGTATCCTCACTGCATTGCATGCAAGGACTGCCTGTTTCATCCGAATTGGTATGAAACAAGCGATATGTACCTGTCTAGGCATGAATCGGTACGCAGGCCGCCCTCGTTTCGGCAGTCCGCTCTGACCCATTAATACACATCCACTCTGACCCTCTTCACCCGAATGCAAGCGTGTCCCACCATTATCACATGCAGCTCATCGTGTGCCGTTGATGGGTGTGTTTCCTCCTCTTCTTCCTCTTCCTCTTTCCTCTTCTCCCTCCACTGCCTCCTATACTTTCTTTTCCTCCATCACCTCATCTTCTTTCTACAGACTAACCCACAAGTAATAGAACTAAATATCTGTTAAATTGTTTATTATTCCAATTTCCTTTCTTTATCAAGTCTAATACCTTGTATCATAATGTTAAAACTTAAAAGGATTAACAAAAGTGGGTTTTAGCAAAACAGAATTCTGGAAAGGTCCATTGTCTTCGAGAGTATTTATGGATTTTCCACCTCCAATCAGTTGAGTGTCCCTCAAGTAGTTTCTTCATAGTTTCAACGAAAAATCTGCAACACCAACTGATTTTAGAGTTGAAAACAATATTTGATGGGCCCAACAACCCATATTTGGTTAAAACTAAGGACAGCAATGCTGGGCACATGGTACGAAAATGGCAGGTTCCCCCAAGCATCGGTACCTGAAATAGAGTTGAATATACCGGTTTGACCCAAGATATGACATTCTAGATGGTTCACTGGCTGATACGGTCAAAATTTGACTATTACATATGGTTGTATTTTGACTGATACCAACCCTCAATGGCGTTTACCAGTCCCCAATGGTCAAACTGACCATTCGAAGCTCTTTGAGGCTTATATAAGCCCCCTCCCTACCTCCTCTCTCACTTTCTCGCTCTTATTCTCACTCTCATTATCACTCTTTTTCTCAACATACATACTTAAACATTTGATCTCTCTAATTGATGGAAGCAACGATCTTTGACGGAGGACCATTAGTTCTTTGATGGATTTGAAAAGATAAGAATTTTTAATTTTGATCCTTATAGACTATAATTTCTATTGATTCTTATTTAATTTGAATTTTTAACTGATAAAATAAGAGAAAAAAACCTTGGAATAGGGTTTTTCATTTTCATATGAATTTTCAACCATTTTTTTGAAATTCTGGTACTTATCGGTGCATCGTGTGTTGTTGGTACTCTGGTACGAGATTGTAAACTATGGCTAAAACAATATTAATTTAGATTACTTTATTTGATTAAGGTAGAGAGTTGTCCTTTGTACTAATAAAGCATATTTAGTAATATTTAGATCATGAATTTTTAAGCCCCTTTCAGATTTTGGTCTAATCACCTTGTCTCAAGTTATAAGTTGTGTAACACTAGAGTTAGTTCCTTTCTACTGAGAAAAAATCCCTAATACTCTAGAGTTGTGTCTTAATGTTATTCATTATTGAAGAAGGCATCCATGTAACATTAAGACGATCTAAGTGAGTGACATTAAGAGCTGGGATTACCAGAACATCAGACCTGCTTCTGTGAGATTTAGGCCATGCCAATCCTTAATTTATGTTGAATTTGTTAGCATCATAAACAATCAAAGGAATCCTTTTAGGAGCAATCATGGTTTCCAAGTATTTTAACATCATCATTTACAACTACATATTATAACCTTTATTTAACATCATTATTTTCCTTTTTTTCTTTTTTCTGTGAAACAGAGAAATGGCAATGCGGGGAGGCGATTGGTGAAAGGGTAAGAACTCTCTCATATAGAAAGTTAGAGACACTCATATGTATTCCACTTGAAAGACTCTAGTTTCACTGGTTTTGTGAAATATTACAAGTGAGATAAATATTTTCCTTTAGGATAATCTCTTTGCTATAAATGTGACCAATTTTGTTTGGGCTAACATTGTATATTGCAGGCTGCATCAGACTGGCTTTATGTAGTTCCTTGGGGCATCCGGAAGGTTCTTAACTACATAGCAATCCATTACCACAATCCTCCAATTTATGTTACTGAGAATGGTAACTCTTCATTTATTCCTTGTGCATTTTTGAAATTTAAATGTGTGAATATAAAGACTTATTACTGTTCCACCTACTCATAAGACACATTCTAGTCATATTCTGCATGGCTCTAAGAATTTCATGCAGATTGCATCGTATGTTGCTCTTTTCGGAAAATATTCATGGACCCTAAAAAAATTAAATATGTGTAATCCTTTAGTCTAATCAATGAAGGCCAACAAAAAACCTACTTGGCAGCTTATAAGGAGCAAAAGAATAGGAAAGTATTCCACTCTGTTAGATTCTGATAAATTAAATATAGTTTCAAATTTCAAGTTTCAATCAGTTCATAGACTTTAATAAGTTTTGTTACTGTTACAGTTATGATTATTTGAACTTACAAAAGCTTCTAGAAAATTATTACTTTGAAGTGCAGACTGCTATTTTGTTCTCTTTAACATTTTCTTCTGAACTATCATGTAAAATTGGGATTTATAATCAGCCATGCTGTTGCATCTTGTTATGAAGTTCCAAATAAGTCTGCTTTTCTCATAGTGTTGTATACAATTAATCAATTTCCTTCACTAATTGACAGGCATGGATCAAGAAGAAACCGAAACAGCAATTCTTGAGGAGGTCCTAGATGATAAACTGAGAGTGGAATACTTTAAGAGTTACCTTGCAGCTGTTGCACAAGCAATCAGGTAAATTATAGTGGTTACATCTCGTTCATGTGTGTCTTATCGAATTTCACTGCACATGTTTTGTACTGTAGATACATGATATCCGAGTTGCGTTTCTGCCCTTGCTTATGTGTACAACTGCCTTTAGACACTAATCTGAATCATTTTTATTTGGAAAAGCTCATATACGCAATCTGCTTTGCATGCATCAAGCACACATCGTATAATGCAATTTTCATCTTAATGATATTTTTTCACTCAAGCTTTTCCTGAGAAAATAAACTTTCTATTTTTAACCACCAAAATGAAGCAAAATGTAAAACCAAATTCCAATGAAGTGCCTGTAACTACAAATGCATTAACATGAATCATCGACTTTATATGCTACTAAGGTGTGAGTTCCAGTTAATTGGTGATTTACATGCTGCTAAGATGCATTACATGTGGTGCAATATTTAGTAAATTAATGTGGTCTTTAACGTCTATTTATTGTTACAAAAAGGCCATTTTTTGTTAATATTTTCTTATGTAACATGTCAGAACAATAAAAAGAAGTCTATTTGGCAAAGGGATAAAGACTACCTCAGTTAAATAATTGTTTGTGAATTAACAAATCTTTACAAAAAAGTTAAAAAGGTTCTTGAATGCAGGCTTGATGGAAGGAGAAATTTGTAACAAACCAAAATGGAAGAAAAGCAGAATAATTGAAAAAAAAATGCAAGATGAACTGAGACCATCCATGAGCTATATGCTCGATCTCAAAGTCTGAAATTCTTTCTGGAACTTCCATGATTAGGATTTTGAAATACAAAACACCTAGAAGCTCACTGTCAAATTCCTTAGCATGTGGATGTAAATAATTTATTTGGATGCTTACCACCTCCGAATTGAAACAAATGTTTTCATTCAAAACTTATGTCATCCCAGTATCCTGGTTAACTGCTCTCTTTCTAGGTATTCTAGCAGGTTATTATGGTAGGCAATTGTTAAGATTAAGTAAATCTGGGACAAAAGTATGTTTGAAGGTTGGCATCATAGGTGTAGTCAGATTATTTCTCGTCTTCAAGCAACAATGCCTTGTAAGTTATAATAGCATATTCTTGGTAATTTGTAGTTTTGTACAATTCATAAAAAGATAGAAAGCCACAAATAATGAGATCATAAAACTTTGAATGCATAGGGGCATCCTATTGGTAAATCTGTATATCTGCATCCTTCTTTCTGTTAATATATGTGTATGTATTTGAAGTGAATATTTGTATTTTCTTCAATTAAATCCTATAGGTGTTTTGACCAAAAATAATTATAGATGCTTTGCACATATCTTTACCATCTTTTCTTTGTGCTCTTCTGCTATTACCCCTTCTTGTAGCTTTTGTTGAATTCATAGCTGGGGTGCCTATATTTAGCCCAAATTGTGAAGGATCTCATCATGAACTAGTAGCAGAAGTTCCTCCAGTAGTAGATGGTTGCCTAGGATAGTGGGAAAGGATTATATGGTGAAGCCACAATCAAGTCCTGTACATAGACTAATAGGTGACATGTGGAGTATTATACTGATCAGATCATTTAGGTTAATAAGGGAAAAAAATAAAACAATCCTTGGCTTTTTGTCTCTTCTGCACCTCCAAAGAGCCACACGCAGACCTTGAGGCATTGTCCAACCCTTATGTGCCTTTGTTTGGAAGACTAGCACTTGACTGTGGCTTTACCCGGTGAATGCAACTCCTTTAAGGGAAGAGAATTCAATTAAATTGGTCAGCCAGTAGGTTGGCTGGGTGTGTGCATAATGCTAATGGTATAGCCTTGTTGTGTTATTAATGATATAGATTGAATTGAATCAGTCATGGGAGGACAATTATCTGCTATGGACAAGGAAAGAAGGTAACAGTCTAGTTGATGACTGGAAGATGTGTCTGTACCACATCCCTCTGGTGTTGAGTTGGCTGCTCTGTCCAGCAACATGTGGGCAAGTGCACAAGCTTGAAAAGGTGGTAGCTCTCATGAGCTAAGAAAGTGTGTTTTTGCCAGTTATTCATTAGGAAAAAGTAAAGTGAAAAATTGGAGCTTTGTAGAGAAGGCAGACTGAAAGACTCGGTTAAATTGAGCTGAAAATGCAAGCAGAACAAACGCATGGGCCAAAAGTTCCGACTCGTCAACCAGACATCTCTCAAAGTTAGTCAAGGATAGAAAAATGGCCATAGTGTTGCAAATTTAGATATTCTATCTGATTTAACAAACTTACACTACTGATCTAAAAATTTTTTGAAGTTCATGTGGAACACAACTGTTGGCATTCACCTATCACTTCTTTGTGAAAAATATCCCCCACTACACCTTGACCAAAAATTGATGGGCAAACCGGACAATCTGACCATCATAGGATTCTGTGAAGGGACAGCTTCTGCTCCATAACATCATTTCTAGATACATGTGTTGTCTTCTGTAAATGTGAATTCGTGACGATGTAGGAACTCGCTCTAGTACGAGTTATCAGAAATTTTCTTTGGTTTTGTGAAGTGAGAATTTGTCATTGTTATGCATGCCTCTAATTTCTTTCTGTAGCGGACTCCTAGGACATGACATCATAATATATATAAAGTTACCTTTTGATTGAATAAACAAATATAATAGTCTTATTTGCTGTGTTTGGAACAGAGATGGAGCCGATGTACGTGGATACTTTGCATGGTCATTCTTGGACAATTTTGAGTGGGCCCAAGGATATACTAAAAGGTTTGGGCTGGTTTATGTCGACTATAAAAATGGTCTTGCTAGGTATCCAAAATCATCAGCCCTATGGTTTTCACACTTCTTGAAGTCTAGTGAGGAAGATGTTGGCAAGCAGGTCAATCAAGCCTGATATGAAGCTAAGGTGAATTCTCACGTCTGCCTTCATGCGCATACCGTCCTATCTAGTTTTGCTCTTTGGCTTACATGGATACTTTTAAATCCAACCAAAATCACTCGTGTAAAAGAAGTTTGATAATGAGGCTGAGGCTAAATGTCCAGTGGTGGGTGGACTCTTACGACCTAAACATTCATCACAAGACTAGAAGCTCGTATGGCAAAAAGATCTATAACCCACTTCCTCTTGGTCAACTATCTTCCCCAGATGCATGTAATATATAAAAATTTGTTACCCTGGCATGTTTCACTCGCCTTCTCTTTACTTCCAATGTTTAAGTCATTAATGCAGTTTTCTGTGACTTACAGATGGTGGCTTGTGCTGCTAATTTCTGTGCATTTGGTGGTCATTCTAAAGCATCCTTGGAAACTTCGAAATGAGGGCATGGTAGAAGGCTTAGGAACTATTCTGAGTTGAGATGCACTACACTCCTCCAATGGGTTCTCAAAAGAATACTTTTTCTCTGCTATATTACCCTTTATTTTTCCTGAATTCTAACTAGGTGTGGCTTCTTTTTAAGCTCTGATTTATTGTAATTGGTTGCATGTTGTGTTATTTTTATGTCATCTTTTTTTAGCTACTTAATGTAGTGTTTTTTAATCAAAAATAAATTTTAGTGGGTTACAAGAAATCTCAATCTGAAGGAAAGAAATGTAGTCACTTAAATAATCTCTCGTACCTGACATCATAAAATTATAATAGTTTCATTTCTTTTCATGTGGAGTATTTGCTGTGTGATTATGCCCTATGTCTATAGTTTGTTTGACGTTGATCTTTATCTGTTTATAAAAAAATAATATAGTAATATATCAGCTTTATATATATAAATGCCATGGGCATACTTCTCATTTAATATCCATTCAAAAAACTAAATATTTAGTTAGCCATAGCTAGTTTGAGCTTTAAAAAAATTAAATAAGTACCTACCATATTCTTGCTATTCTTTTGGTCATCATTATTCTAATAATATTTTAAAATGACATTAGTTAGCTTTACAAATACTGTATATATATATATATATATATATATGTAAAGAAAATATTCAGAGCATTTTTTGGGGCTTTTAGGAGAACCATTCAATTTAAAGCTTTTAATATCATATGATGCAAATGACATTTCTTATTCATGAATTGATTGTGTTGAATTGGATCATTATCCAGTCCAGTCTGATATTTTTCTTATGCTAAAATTAGCGGTTGTGATTTGTGCAGGTCTTGGTGTGATCGACAGCCGCAAATGTTCTCAGTTCTTTTGGACTCCAATCTGCCTCATCTTGTAGTGACATCCAAAGCGACGTGGTTCGTTGCAATCCATAACACAATCCACTACTTCCTCACCTCAAATCGTCTACCCTCGTCTTTCTTCCCATTTATTTGGGCGAGCGCAATATCAATTAATATAGATGAGAAGATTACTATATATAGTTCTTTTTATTATTTATAATTTTATTTTTTAAATTTTTTTTAATATTTCTAAATTGTCCTTTATATATATATATATATATATATGTATATATATACATATATATATATATATATGTATATATATACATATATATATATATATATGTATATATATATATATGTATATATATATATAAATATAATTTTTCTTCTTCCTTCACCTCTTTTTCTTTCTTCTTGATAGTGAGCGTCGTCGATGGTATGCGTAAAGAGTGAGATGAACTAAAAATGATAATATTATGATTATAAATAATAAAATAATATTTTTATTATTTTGAAGGGATTATCAATAGTAAGAGATTGTAAATTGTAAGATTCTATAAATTATAGTCACATTTTTTATTTACACATCTAACCTTTCAAAATTTGAAAATAACATATTTTGTGCTTATAGATTTGGATATAATATGTCTGGTATTAAGATATTGGGTAATTCCCATCAAAACCCTCTCTTTTTGAGTTTTTGTACATTTTATATTTGTTATCATTATTAAAATATCCTTAGTACATTGTACCTTATAAATCGAATTATCATCATACCATTGGTCTAATGTCTCATGAATAAGATTTATGGTGTGTTTTTGTCACCTTTGTCAAAACACATATAGTTGAACATATATATATATATATATATATATATATATATATATATATATATATATATATATCAGTAGGTTTCAAATAATTATACTTCAAAGAACAATCAAATTGAAAGATAGTAATAGGGTTTTACAAAATATTATAAACCTTTTTTAAAATATCGGAACCGGTGACTCGGATCGGTAATATTTTTTGTCAAATAATAAAAGCAAAAAGCTGTCCATCATGGTGTGATGGATGATTGTGGCTGAAGAGTTTGGGCCCCAGCGGGACCCACGTCAACGGGTGACGACGCGCAAGTAAATGTGCCGGTAATCGAAGAAAGGGGTAGCAAAGAGTATAATTTTGCGTGGATGTGTACAGCACGCAAAAGAAGGGATCAGAAAAAACGCAAGTCTTAGGAATGGAGCTCTGCAAGGAAGGGGAAGGGGGAGAGGAGGGAAGAGATGAGTGAGGATGCGAGGAGCAGGCCGTGAGATGAGACTGAGGGCCGCCGTCGTGTCGCCCTGCTGTTCCTCCCCCTCTTCTCCCCATGTCGTCATGGCTAGCTGCAAGAAATCCCAACCCAAGAGTAACAACCATAAGGTCAATGTCTCTTCCTCTCTTCCCACACTTTATGATGGCCATTCAGTTATGGGAACTGGAATGGGTCAATTTCGTCGTTGCTATTTGGTGCTGCCCTTGCCCAGATAAGCTAGGGCTTGGCCCAAAGTTGTTCATGTGTGGCTTCGCGGAATGGTTGCTGTATATGGTCAAAGGTTGAATCCTTGTTGTTTTATGTCGATTGTTTGCGTTTCTGGCATTGGAAATATAGGCATGCATTTCTAAACTGGAACGGGAAGAAAATGTGTCGACAAAATTCAGTTCCTGTCATGTTTTTTCTCTCTAGAAATGATGTCAAGAAAATAATCATGCTGTTCTTTTTCTCTTTAAATTTAGATTTTTGAATTGCCTAGAACCGTTGACAAACAAAAGAGATGCCGTGTATGTGACACTCATATATTATGTTGAATTATATTTATCTGCAAGATCAATTTAGAAAGGTGGTGTAGAGATATGCAATAACGACCATTTTTATTCGATACATTCCTATCTTTATATGTTCTGGAAATGTCTATGTCAATTGAAAGATATAGATTTGTGATCTATCTATCATGTATGTAAAGTTTTGTTATTTGCTACTGCTCAAAGTTGGACTATAATGGAATACCACCACTAGAAATTGATAGAAATGCAAGGTTGTGGGTCTAATAAGTCTCTAGTCTTTCATATGTTGTCTTAACTCCAAGGTGTGGATTATGGAGTACAATCCTACTAGCATCAAATTTATGGGTTCAACCTCCTGTTGTATGGTTATTCACATTGGTTTTCTGATAATTTTTAGCATCTTTAATTGACTTCTGCCATTATTTTTAGGCAACATTTCTGATAGGTTCTGTTAGGAATGCAAAACGGCCAAGCATGCCAATATGAAGTAAATCAATACTTGAGCCAGGATCAGTGGTGAAGTGACATGGTCATGTGATGAGGCAATTGTGAGAGGTGACAAGTGCCTCCTATATATTTCCAAATCCCCTTATAAAAAATAAGATTTCCATGTAAAATGCTTTCTTAGTGAAATTGTGATGTTTTGACTTTTACCTGCTGCTATTTTGAATAATTTATGGTATTTTTGGAAACAGTTACTTCCAAGACATTGAAAGTCATATCTCGTATATGGATTTGAACTTTTTCTTCTAAAAATTGACACCAGTATTTCTGCTTCTAGAACCCTGATCAAGCTCCTCCAAGGATCACATCCAATGTAAAGCAAAACTTACAAATTTTAAGGTTATGGAAGGTATTGCATTATCTTTCTCTTCATTTATGTAAAAAGCCCATAATCTAGGGTGGTTGCTTCTGCATCTGCACCAATGCAATGACCTGTTAAGTCTGCCTTAGTTGAGTGTTCATATATATATATATATATATATATATATATATATATATATATATATATATATATATATATATGTTAATCCACAGTTCCACATGGACTGCATTTGGAACATTGAATTATTCCATGGGCAGGGTGTAATCTACTGCAGGGTGCCATATGTTAATTAATGTGACACATGAAAACTGAAATTTGCCATTCCATAAATCAATGATATTTGAGTTTGCCAAGATGACCGTTGACAATTGTCAAGCAATTTTTTTATCTCTTATGTTGGACTAGGATCTTCAAAGTCATAAATCAAGTACCCCTAGGCCGGCCACTAGCTATCGGAAAAAGAAGGTTGTTAAAGAAGAGCTTCCACAAGACACAGAGCTATATAAAGACCCAACTACAAACCTATACTAGTCAGTACTCATTTTACTTATTTGAACAAAGTTCATTGATGCAACTTCTTTCTTCTGGGCTGACATTGAAGTGTTAGTCAGAAGTCCTCATTTTGAGTCACATATATATATTTTCCTTGTCTAGTACAAACCAGGGCTTGGACACTTCTGTTCCGGTTCTTCTTGTGGATGGATACAATGTATGTGGCTATTGGGCAAAGCTGAAGAAACATTTCATGAAGGGAAGACTAGATATTGCTCGCCAAAAGCTGATTGATGAGCTGATAGCTTTTAGTGTAATAAAAGGTTTGTTCTTTTCTAGTTGTAGATTGTTGCATTATTTCTTTCTACAAACTGTATATACCTTGAAATCACTATGCAATTCTTTTACATTCCTATTACTCCTTGCGCAATGCTTGTGGACGCTTGCTTTTGTTGATGATATGTTAGACTAAAAATAGTATGCACAATGAACTTGTTAGAAAAGAGCCTTCTGCTTCAAGAATAAACTTAGGAAATGATAATTGAGTATTGAAGATTCTGGTTAGAACCAATTCTATTGAGCTTAGATAATAAAGTCAATGATTCTGTTTGAAGATTGGCTATACCCAATGCTGTTACAAATTGAAATTTTATGTTGTTACTTATATTGTATCATTAAAACTTAATCTAAAATTTGTGACATTATTTTTACATCTTACGGTGTTGCACTTTCAAGCAATACAGAAGTAAAGGTTGTCGTGGTGTTTGATGCAATGACGTCTGGACTTCCAACTCATAAGGAAAGTTTTGCAGGGTAAGGTTGTTGAATAATTCAATGTTATGCATTCTTTTCTGGTAAGAATTTTTGTTTCTAATCGACATATTACAGAAATCCTATATATACCTTTGAACACTTTGGAGGATTAACTATATGAAAAACTTCTTTACTTTGTTGATATTATCTTACCTAGTGGATTAGCCACGACTTAGATCTTGTTCAAGAAATTTGTGACAATCTTGCATCTTCTAATTACATTGTAGATGTAACCTTAATGACAATAATTGGGATATAGAAAGGTTTGAAATATTGGTCACATTGGCATATACCAACCAATGTTTAATGGTTCGATGAAGCACCAATACATGTTGATACCTACTTTTTATTGTAGGTGTTTAATGGTTCGATGAACTGATATCGGTCAGTATTTAGTTTTTATTTTTTTTATGCCCTTTTGCCATCATTTCTTTGTTAACTTGCATTGCTTGAGCAAGCTATAGAGGGAGGGAGCTTGAATAGCATGCTATGAATACTGGTGTTGCCGTCTACCATGACATTCTACATTTTATTGTGATGATATAGTTCTCCAAATTTCCTTGCCTAGGTAGCGCTTAATCTCTTAAATGATTTATTGATGTATACATGTGAAAGATTCCTTCTATTCCTACTAACTTCCTGAATATTGATCTACTGAACTCACCTAGAAGTTTCTGAAGTTACTTATTTTAGTATAATATGGTTAAAAGCAGGTCTGTAGGTTTATTGGGTGCCTATGTACTGATCTTCTTGCTTACAGTGGATAGAATTGAAAATCATGCATTTTGATATATTTAATTTTGTCTTCAAATAACGGTTATTCTTTTAGCTTTATATGACTTATTGTGCTTTTGTAAGCAGGATTGATGTAATATTCTCAAGTGACACATGCGCTGATGCTTGGATTGAAAAGGAGGTATGCAATTTGTTCAGTAGTGAAGTTTAATTTTGTATCTGCATGTCCTGCACATGTTAGGATGAATACTAAAAGGAAGGCACATAAAGGTTGCTAAGAAATTATTGTTTCTTTACAACATATTTTACATAAAGAGTTTTAATATGCAATTCACAAGCAACTTGTCTTTTAAAAATGAACTAAATAAGCAACTAATTAGGCTTATTTATTACTGATAGCTCATTTTCTGTGGTCAGGTATCACAAAAGAATTATAGGCCATTTAATTATATATACAATCAGATCAAATATAGATTAACCATAAATAGGGTAATCATACCGTACCTTTTGCAAAAGTCCTTTACTTATACCAATGTCTTGGAAAGCTTCGTGAGGCTAGTTACAATTTGATGACTCGTCACCCCTAATACAAAACGACTATAGAGTTGTCATGCCTTGATGTGATTCGACTCAACTTCTAAGAAAAGCACATTGTGTTATTGACTTTCTATAAATCATTATATAGAGCTGGTTGAATTTTTATTTTCTTATAGTTTCTTCAGTGATTGCACAGGTATAATAATCAGCCACAAACCAAACAATTAGTCCAATCACCAATGCATTTTCCAATTGTTGATTTCGATCGGTGATTTGAAAAAATATCATAATGAGTATGAATATAGGAAATACAAGAATTCAGAAGAAGCACAAATATCAATATGTTGATTAAATAAATATCATTTATTAGGATAAATTTATAAAAAACCAAATATGCACAAATGTGATATGCCATATATGAGCGGAACATTAATGAAGAGTATCTAGTAAGCAGTATGCACCATGGCTCCTAATTTCATATAGATCGAAATATATTGGATGGTATTTACCTATCTGAGTGTGAACCAGGCATGCCCCATCCCTTTTCAAATGATTTAGTTCATTCTTTTTTATCTATCTGGCCAGTGGATCTTAGGGTTAAACTTGTCCGCAACTTTCCCCCTCTTCACTTCAGCTGCTTGCCTCTTTTGTTCTCTTGAAATAGAAGAGGCAATGGTTGTCACCAAGTGCGGATCCCTCGTGATTTGCCTCACCATGGCTGTGCTTAAACATTGGACAGTTCAGATTCATACTTGCTTCCCATTGTAAGATCATAGGCTTGATTTCAGGTTCTCACAAGGAACTTGCCCCTGACCAAAGCCCTGCCTGATTCAATTGTTAGCTGACACTCTAATCTCAATTCCATATACTTTATTGTATAGTACCATGCCTAAGTTGTATTATTATGCCAATTTCTTATATCCTGTACGTGCAATTAGGGTATTATCAAGCAGTTTAGTATGAACAGAAACAATTCAAGATGGTCATTGTGCTAGGTTTCAGTAGGCTGTAAATATCATAATGTATTGCTAAATGGAGGATAGCTAAAAACATACTTGGTCTATCTTCAGCGCCCAATTGTTACGCTGTATGGTCTAAACATCTATATGTTGTCTGTACTTTCTTTAAGATTTGACCTCCCAAGATAGGCCTTTTCTTTATCTCTTCCTTCTTACTCTTGTGAGTTCTGGCCCTTGTGATCTAACCTACTTGCGCTCATTTGAATTTGACACAGCAGCCAACCATTCACTAGTCCATGCAGGTTGTTGCTTTGAAGGTTGATGGCTGCCCAAAAGTCTGGGTTGTGACATCTGATGTATGCCAACAGCAAGCAGCTCATGGGGCAGTATGCACTTTACTAATTAATTAATGATTTTGTAGACTTACCAGCTTGATTGGCTTTAAGTTTTTTTAGGTCTTAAATCTTAATGTTGTCCTTTCCACATTAATATGATTAATTTACATGGACACTCATAGTTCTGATATTCAGTTTGACAATTGTTATAGAGTAATTGGGTCTATCTGCATTGGTTTCTAGTTTAGGAAAGGAGAGGGCCAACCAGCAGTTGAATCCTAATGGTAGTTATGGGATTGGTTATTTTCTTATTGCAGTAGGATATGTAGGTTAATTGCATCTTTCCTTCTAAAAGTGAGTTATGAAGACTCCAGTTGCTCCACAATATGCATTGTTTGGAACTTTTTTTCATTATTTGTTATATTGAAAACATATTGATTTTGGACTCCTGGCTAAGTTTCTGTTAAAGTGACACTGAGAATTCCATGTCTTTTATAATACTGAACCAAGGGGATCCTTGGTCACTTTATTCTGGTCGCAATATTTTTTCTTCATTTACCCTCTAAAGATTAAATACCTACAATTTCTTCAACATCAGAACATTTTATTTTATGTTATTAGAAAAAGTCTTGGTGGACTTGTCTGTATGCACATTTTCTCAGATCAATTTGAGAATCACTTGTTTTAGATTTCATTCTGTAAAAGCTGTAGTTTAGAATTAATAGTTTTTTTATGAAGAACTTGAATTTTCCATCACCACCTTATGTTTATTGACTGTTGTCTCATCCTGTTTCTTTACATATTATGTATGTTTACTTCTGTAATACATTGTCTAGGGTGCTTTTGTTTGGAGCTGCAAAGCATTGGTGTCAGAGGTGAGGGATGTTGACTTTCTTTTCACTTATATCCATCCTGAATAATTCCTTGAATTGTTAAATTTACTTTTCCTTCTAACTTTCATACCAGTGCAGTTTGCACATCGTTAATCAACTTTTTGATTGGTGATGGTGGTCTTTTAAGGAAGAAAGTTTTTTGGTTTATCTAGGGAGTAATGCTTAAAAAAGGTCAGGTGCTTCTGAAACATGGCATATAAATCGTGGGACATACATCAGTGCAATCCCCTTAAACTTCCTTGGTTATACTTCATTTCTTATCTCTTGCCATCAACAAGAATACGTATAACACCCCAACTTAGTCCTACCTCCGAAGTGGGTAAGGACTTAGTCTGATGAGCATATAACATTTTGGGCAAGTGGTTCAGGCCTCAGGATCAACAAGTTAACAGTTCAGTTATTCCATCAGGTTGTGATAATTGGAAATGATCAATGATTACAGATGTATGCTTTGCAGCAGATTATAAACTAGTTCATATATTTGGTCATACTTCTTTAGAGATGGAATAACATTAAATTGTCTCAAACCAGTATGTGTTTGTAAAGGGTGCATGGTAAGGAGGCAGAGAGATGCCTGACGTTTTTATGCTTTTTTTAATGTAATTGTTCTGGTGTTGCCATTGATCAACTGGTTTGACTTTAGTAGCACACTTGATGTGGATTATTCCACAAGCTGCACACTACAGGACTTTTTTTTTTTTGTTATGAGAAATGTGGATGATTCCACAATTATCATGCAATAGTGTTTGCTTCATTGATCATATTTGAAGCAAATAAACCGATTCCATTTCTTTAAATGCTATAACATCTCCTTGTTGGTCTTTTTTCTTACTAAATATCTATTTTTAACCATTTTACAGATAAAGGCTTCACAAAGGGAGTTCGAGCAAATACTGAATGAACATAGGTCTGATTTTTGCAAACTCTTTGCTCCTTTGTTTTATTGTTTGTTCATGCTTGTTTGTACCTTCATCTTTCTACCAGAACATATGCAACTGGGTTTATGGAAACAGAAGTAGTCATACTGCTGATATAATTGAATTATCCTTTCCTGTGCTTCTCTTTTTCCGATCCACTTGCCAATGGGTTCTTAACCCCTTTCATTGCAATTGTTGGTGTAAGTATGTGCCTTCTGCACGAGTAACTATGGTACAACTTTCATTGGGTAAAATCTTTTGTTACTTGGCGAGGTTTGCCAAATCTTCCTGATCTTTGACTAAGTATCATCCTGTCAGCCACCTTACAACAAAGACTTAGTAAATATGACTTACACACTTATCGATTACATCAATGTGTATCTTAAGTGCTTCAACACAATCATCTATTCTAGTCAGCTTGTGCCATGAGTCTACTATATCAATTATCATCAGATATAGTGTACTTTAATTCCTTCTATAGTACTGGAGAAATGTAGAAACTGTTCATGTGCAGACTAAAACCTCAAACTTCTATGACATTCTCTGTCATGCGAATGCAACTAAATGCTGCTTGTTAGCTTCATTATTGCTAGCCAGTTCTAGTAACTGTAGATTGGTGGGTGTTGTGTCCTTATACATCTCATACTGGCAGGTCAACATCTGTTCAAGGGAAATTGCTTCAACACAACCTAGGCCCAGAAATAGTTGATGCTCTAAAAGATCTTAAGAGAAAGCTGTCCGAGAACGAGTCAACATGACTGACTTTTGCTTTTTGGGATGACAATTCATTGACACCACTGAAGCTATAGCCTGAGAATTGCATTCACAAATGTGAATTGGTCATGCAATCCACATAATGAGAAGCGAATCTCGTATCTCCTCTTCGATTCATAAGCCACCTTTGGCAGTCTGCCTCATTTGTAGCTTTCAATCAGCCCATGTGTATTCAGTCATTGTTTCTCTCATTGCAATTTCTCTGATGGGTCATATTGTTATGTTAAGGACAGTGCTGCATCCTGGAGGTTCTAGAAATCTCTTTCAAATTACTTCCTCCTGAACTTTCAATATCATTCTTCAGCACAGCGAGGGTGTTCCTGGATATTGTGTTTTGCAAATCCATTCTCTGTAACACTTATGATCTATCTTAAGAGTTCAACATACAATTAAACTTAGAAGGAGATGCATGATTCCTTTTATACACTTTGCAATGGATCCAAAAAATACTGCCATTTCTTGGAATAGCTTCCAAAAAAGACTGCTGTGTTATTGGTGTCCAAAAAGAGACTTTCTAACTCTTTGGAGTGAAAGTGTTTTTTTTTTTTGGAAAATAGTTTTACCAAATAATTCTTTTTTCTTTTCCGTCCTCCAACAGTGTATATATACTTCACATTCGTTCTATTCTGGCAGTTATACTGAGGACATCTGACATTTTGGCCTGTTGGAGGCCTCCTTCACGCTCTACAACATGCAGATTCATTTTCGCCTCTTCATCCACTGTGATCGGGTAACACTCTCTTAACCCTTTCCCTCTTTTTTTTTCTTTTTTTTTTATGTTGGGGGTGAATTTGGATTATGATTATCAATTAAAACTCTCAAATATCCTTTCATGACCACTAAGTTAAAGTTCATCAATAAATTTAATTTTTATATGATAATAATTTAATTATTTTTTAAATAGTTTTTAATCTGAAGATGCCACAAATAGCCCATGAAAAATCTACTTCATGCATATTTACTTTAGATGGTCGAGCCCTGTTAAACAAAAAAAGAAGAACAAACAAATAATCTCTACAATTTTTTTTTTATATTTCCACTTCCAAATAATCGAATTGAACATTCAACTTAATAGTAGTTATACTTAAATGTGTGCAACATTGAAATTAGACATGCTAGTTTAAATGCTACTTCAAATTCATACATGACATCAAACAGATTCCACGTGACCTTGTCGGACTCGGATCTTAGATGGAATCCACCTGGATCCGATCCGCACACGCCCTGGTAGCCACGGAACCGAGCACACGACAAAACGGATGCCCCGTCAAACTCGGTCAACATTCAACGGTCAAACCCTCGGTCAACGTCAAGATCGCCCATGTCGGGATTTATTGGATCCACTGGCCCATGTGATCGCCCCCCCCATCTCTCTTCCGCCATTTACACCGTGGGCGGCGGCTCCACCCACTCCACCGCTGGTTGTTGCCTCCGTCGACCACCGGGCTGTCAACAGCGGCACCACCTCACCATACGTAGTAATGCAGACGAAGTACCACCGCATGAAATGAATGCTTCAGCGACTCCGACTCGTCTCAGTCTTCTTCCCAAGTGTGAGGTTGCGGCAGTTGCAGAAGCTGTAATGGCGTTGCTTCACACACATCCGTGCACTATAATAGAAGTGCATTGTTATGTGTTAACGTACACAATGCATATGCATTGAAAGACAGCCCTTCTCTTCTGGTCATGCAATTAGGGCACCAAATATTTCTCATGCTCTGCTTAGAGGATGCTGAACTATGAACTGAGATTTAATGATGGTTTTACGTCTTACATTGATTTCTTTGCATGTAATTCTACTTGTAGTTTAGATGATGCATGAAAGTTGTATTCAATGATTAGTTTGTAAACTCATTACTGTTAACTATAGCAGTCAACATAAGCTTTTTTCACATTCTCTCGATGGCTTGAACACGGCCAGGTTCTTAGAATGATCGAGAATGTGCAAGAACTCATTTTTTTCCATCAATTTGATACGATCGTATCGTTTAGCAATTAATTTGTAATTGACATCGGAACGGACATGACAGTCCTAGTTCCGTGCGTATCACGAAGCTTGATGCATATAGGTTAACATATGGATTAAATTTTCTGTCGAGAACCTACTTTTGCGGAGATAGGTTCGAATTTATTGATGATAGGTATCGATGTAGGTTGCTCTTTCATTTCTTGGTTGGCCATCGAATTTTTGATGAGTCCAGAAGACATGACAATTAATTGTTGTAGAGCTTGACTGTGTCGTCAAGGGAGGAATTGATGACTAACATCAAGGGTAGGAGCATAAGACAAAAAAATTCATGTTGTAGTGCAACTTGATGTTTATGTGATCCATATTAAGAATTGGCAACTTTTCTCTTTGATTCATCTCTTTCTATTTATTTGAGTTTAAAAAAGAATTTGATTTGATTTACATGTCTAGCAATTATAGCCAAATACAACTTTGTGCAGTGATTCCCTTTCAGCTATCATGAGCTTTTAATTTACATGTATAGCTTTTTCCTAATTGTGATCATGTTTACTGGAGCTAATATTTAGTTGTGAACCTCCATGATCGATTGAGTTATTAAGATCAAGCTTTCAGTGTTTCAGATATAAATCTAACTCCGTCTATTTTTAACTTGCTCCTCTCGACTCATGGTGGTTGAATCATGAGTTGGTGATCTTGAGATCAATGCAAAAGAGATACAAAAGGGGCATTTTTTTCTCAAGATCTTCAACTCATGATCCAATGATCAAAGATGATGGAGAAAGTTGCAAGTCACACACACAATTGATAGATGTATGTAGATAGACAAGGTCGTGATTGAATTGATTGATCCACTTGTAACATGAAAACAACATCTACATGATATCTACAGACCATAAGAAGAAAAAGAATGCTTGGTGTCATTGAAGGATCATAAATAACTTTGGCATCCACATAGTTGCATTATGAATCAAAATACAAAAAACAAAGATAGATAGTCTTTCCTGTTGATCATTCATCATGCTTAAATATATGTTTCATTTTTATTAGAGGCGAAAAAGGAGGAAAAGAAGACGCCTTTATCTGCTATCACAAGCAAAGAACAAGATGAAGCAGCACCTTAACAACAGTGAGAGCAGAAGAAACACAATGTGCATCAGAGGTAGGTGAGATGAAATGAGGGCCTACAACCGCCCAAATTGTGGAGATCACAAGAACAATGTTGATGCTACCTCTCACCGAACAAATCAAATATCTTTCTTCCTGCGACGGCCACAGTTTCCTTAAGTTCAGTCTCATATCTATGACAAAGTTTTGTAGGTAGTGATGGTGATGGTAGCATTTCTAACCAACGATAGTCTAGAGAAATTAAAGCACATAGTACAATCTAGCTATGGATCGGCAACTGTTCCATATGCTTGCTGAGAATGATAACTAATGAATGATCATCTTTATAGTAGTGGTTTTGAGGGCTGCCTTATATTTAGTGTAACTCCAAACATCAATAATTAGCATAACTTGGACTTCTTAATATATGCTTTAGTTGGTATAAAACCGGATTTGCATTTGATGATGAACAGTACTTGTCTCGTAGTTAAGTGTAAACTTTCATTGGGTAGTAGATTCAACTCAACTAAATCTCTCTCTCTCTCTCTCTCTCTCTCTCTAGAGAGAGATATTGTGTTAACAGTTTTGAATAATTATTAGAAATAATCACAGTATTAGTACAGTTGATTGGTGTGACCATGGTCACTATGTGCCAAATCTAAGACGAAACCATGGAGTACAAAGGATAGTGAAGCGTCCTTTATGTCACAACTTCTCACATGACAGCTCAAATAGTTATCTCCTATCACTGCATCATTGTTTTATCATTTTAGCAGATTTATGTTGACATGTTGGACTTGTTTCTATTGTGATGTTTAGGAGTTTGAGAGATGTTGTTAGGCTAGATTTGGATTAGACTCATCATATATAATATAAAAAACTTAGCATCGCAATTGTTAAATTAGATTTTGATTGTCCGACATATAGAGCAGGTTCGGAGTCGATTCGCTTTCGAAATTTGTCTCAGGAGTTTAGGCAAAGATCCTACATAAGCTTCATTAGGGGACAAAGATTTCTCTGATGCTTAAAACGATAGAAAATTCAGAGGATTTGATCATATAGAACAAGTAAGAGAATGAGAGAATATCCATATATGCACTTAAAGTATCTGTTATAGTACGATAAGGTAATTATTCGATTGACGCTAAGGTAAATTCCGACGATCAACAAGTCATGAGGTCGAATATCGAACCATCGGGCTATGGTTATAGGATAGCGGCTCATCTTGATCATAGCATTGAGTCAATATCCTTGTCAGCACCATGTTATTAGCCTCTTAAGACTAAGATTCTATCTTACGTATGATCGGATGGATACGACGGACTACATGTCATGTTCCTACGTCAAGAGTAGACCTTCTTTCCACCTTGTTGAAGCCTGATTGTTTAGATTCATGTGAAAAAAGTGTTCATCATCATCCAAAAGAACATTTATCTGTAAAAAGAATAATGTAGTAGTCGGCTCCTGTTAGATTTTGGACATTTTTGGGAACTTTTGGAAGCCATAATTACAGGAAGTTCGATAGAGATATAAATCTAACGTTTGTACTTCCATTTCAGAGTTTACATGCTTCGAAGATTCTAAGTAAACCCACTTCTGACTAAAGAAGATTTTGAATTATGCCATAAAAACTCTCTCTCTCTCTCTCTCTCTCTCTCTCTCTCTCTCTCTCTCTCTCT